TAGAGAAAAATGCCAAGGGTTGCCAGGAGTTGTTAACCCATTGTTGTAAGACGCCACCGATTGCCGAGTCGGATGCGTCTACTGCGATGCTAATGGGTGCTCGGGTGTCCTGATGTGCGAGCATTGTTACTTTAGCGATCAGTTCCTTAACTGTGGAGAATGCTTTTCGTGCGGTGCCGTCCAAATTAATGGATTTCTCATTTCCACGAAGTTGGTCGGTCAGAGATTTCATAAGTAATGCGCATTTCGGTGTGAAACGTCTATAGAAACTTACCAGGCCGTTAAACGTGCGTAATTGCTTGACGGTGGTCGGTTCTGGGTAATCCAGAATGGCCGCCACTTTGGTCCTAAGAGGTCGAATGCCTTGAGCATCGATAGTGTGTCCTAGGAAGTCTAACGAGTTGGTTCCGAATTGGCATTTCTGAACGTTTACAGTAATGCCATGTTTTTGTAGTCGTTCGAAAACAAGATCCAGATGCTTGAGATGTGTTTCTCTGTCCGGACATGCGATTAGACAGTCGTCAACATACGCGTGTACGAAGTTGAGACCTCGAAAAACGTCGTCTATGAATCTTTGGAATGTTTGAGCAGCATTCCTTAGACCGAAAGGCATTCGCAAAAATTCATAGAGTCCGAAGGGAGTTATGATAGCTGTTTTCGGTATGTCGTCAGTAGCCATAGGGATTTGGTTATACGCTTTAACCAAGTCGATTTTCGAAAAGACAGTTGTACCTTTCAAGGTAGCTGTCAAATCGTGAATGTGAGGCAACGGGTAACGATCGGGAATGGTTTTCGCGTTCAATCGCCGATAGTCACCAGTTGGACGCCAATCTTTGCTGTCCTTTTTAGGGACCATGTGCAACGGAGATGCATATGGGCTACTTGACGGTCGTATGATTCCTAAGTCTATCATATGGTCGAATTCGTTTTTCGCTAACCTTAGCTTTTCAGGAGCTAGTCGGCGTGCTTTAGAAAATACAGGTGGTCCTGTAGTCGTGATGTGATGTGTAACATTGCTGGTTACACACGGTAGTTTCGTTTGAGTTTGTTGTATCTCAGGGTACTTATCGAGTAGTGGTTGATAGAGTGGGTCTATCATATGTTTTACTGTGACTGGGGATACTCTACAACCAGTAAAAGAAGTTACGCAAACGGACAAATTAGTGTTTCCGTCTACTAGCCTCCGTTTGCGAGTGTCGATGATCAGATTGTGGTGTTGTAGAAGGTCCATACCAATGATTGGCATAGAAACATCTGCAACAACGAAAATCTAGTGGATGGGTTTGAGTAAACTCACGTTAAGGTACACGTACCTTTTGCCATACGTAGCGATCGGTTTTTCATTTGCCGCCTGTAAGTTAAAAGCCGACTCCTGAAGCCGGTCGTTAGGATTTGCTGGGAGAACGCTAACTTCTGCGCCAGTGTCGACGAGGTAACGAACTCTCGTTGTCACATCTGTGACGAATAACAGACGGCTTTGTTCGCCGGCTACGGTTGCCGTTAACGCCTGCTGGCTTGGAAGTTTCCCGAATTGCTTTTCGAATCAGTCGGTTTCGTGTTGAGAAAATTGCAGGGTTTTCTGCAATTTCTGGAAAGCTTTCCATACTGGTTATGATACCAGCACCAGTCGGGGTTATCTGTCTCTCGTGGTCTAGAGACAGATCGCTTACGAGAAATGCTTCTACGTGGTGTGCGCGATCTCTTACGGTCGTTACGAAGACTAAGATAACGCGTGAGTGTGTGACATAAGTCGTTTATATCATTCTGAGTCGTTTGAGGTTTTTCTTTGACTGAAAATACCTCGGTAGTAGATTTCGTAATTTCTAATATGCGGTCGGCAGATGCAGCTAGCTCGTCTAAGGCGTTGTTTTGGAACTAGACCAGAACTGCTTGCACCTGTTGGGGAAGTTTTGACAAGAAGAGTTGTTTGAATAGGCCTTCGTCGAAAGTTCTTGGGCCTATAACCTCTCTCATCCGTTGCAACATGTCTGTCGCAGAACCGTGTTGCAGGTCGATATTGTTGAAGAGTTGATCTAACCTTTGTCGATCGGTTAGGTCTCCTCGTTTAAGAATCGAGCGTTTTAAGATTTCGTAAGGATCGGGAACATCACTAGTAAACATACTAGGTGTTACGTACCTGTTGAATTCGCGCGGTAGTGCCTTGACTACTGCGAGGAATTGTGCACGTGTGTCGATCACGCCGTGCTCGGAGAAGTCGGCTTCTGCGTAGCGAAACCAGGCTTCGATGTTGTCGGGCCAGAAAGGCATCAGTTGAAACGAAGGCGGGGACAAAGTCTTAAGCTTGAGTACTTTAGGTGTCTGTTCAGTCATGATGAAGTATGAAGTACGATAATGAACAAGAGGAAAATATATATATCCAGGAAAAAAGACGAAAAAAAATCACAATGTTGAAAAAAAAATAAGGCAATGATATATAAAAATCCCAAAAAGGAACAGACTCACAGTTGCAATTAGGTGTACCAGATCACGTCGGTTTCACCAATGATGATGTCACAGGTATTCAGTGTTTGACAACGCTTCTACCAGTAACACCTTCTAATATATTTCGTTCCCGCCCAGAGAAATCAAAAGACAGAGTCGAGGAGATCGGAAGAGTATATTTGGCGATGACCAATATATCGGAATTCTCTGATCTAATCTGGCTAGCGATTGCGGTTGATGTTGAGCACGGCGTTACCACACGTGATCTGGTGCGGATGCATGACCGAGCGCCTTCAGCTAGGTGAGTCCACTAAAACATATGGTCAGCATCCAATGTCGAAAACTTAGTGCTATTTATTTTGGGGATTTATTTACCGCTACACTGGCAACATCAGGTGTCAAGAGGTGCGACAGAACAAACCGCATCTATGTTTTTGGACCGTCACTTGATAACCTAGTAACCACTGTCATCTGTAATATGCATATGGACTAAAAGTAGTATATATTGCCAACTTATTATTAATTATTTTTTCAGGCTTGCTTGGGGTCATCTGTGATAAATTGTTGCTCGACATGAAGTGTCGTTAACCAAAAGCTTTTGTTCCATCCACAACCATTTGACCATCTGTACTGTAAATTGGACATCGAAATGGTATGTATTCAAAAGTTTTGGCTTCTTACGGTTTCTTAGTGTGTTCGGAACGTTTGAGGGAACATTGTTTTTCTTAACGTCAATTGTGTATCAAAATCACAGTTTACTTCTTGGTGGGAGTAAAGTTTGTGCATGACCGTTACCTATTTTTAGCCGAGTCAAACGATTTATAAAAAAACTCAACAGAATTATGGTTAGTAGACTGTTTTAACACGAACAGTAGGCTTTTGTACATGAATTATTTGTGTTCTAATCATGAATTCAGACCAGTTATTATGCGAAAATTAGTTTCACGCCGAAATCTGATTTTCATCCATGTAGTTTACTTTTGTCTATTTTTTCTATGTTCAGTCTTCAGTAATAAGGATAGTAGGTTGATGAACCTGTATTGACGTATTAATGTTGTAGCCAATTTACTATGAAGACCATTTGGGACGATTAAAATAGTCATAATCAGACAAATATTTGATGCTTGACCTATCTTACTCATCGGGTTATAGACTTGTACTACACAACAGATAGTATCTTTCTCTAGTTCTGTGCCTTGGTCTTAACAAACTTCACCAAAAATGCCGTTTTCTCGTGTTTAATAATGTTGCTTTTCCATGAAATGCCTTCTCCGGGTTGATCTGCTTTTTTCTTGTACTATGCCTGGAAATACTCCCAGAACGTCCTCGACGCACTTCCGCCCTACACGTTTCCATTTCATAGGCCATGTTTCACAACTATAGAATTATGCAATGCAAACTGCTACACAGTATACTTTACCCACGTCTAAAGAATAGGTATGTCTACCACACTATAGGCGTCACAAGTTAGCGAAGCCATCCTAGCCTTCTTAATCTTTGCGAAGATTTCATCAGATGCTAATCCCCTGACGCCTGATGTGACTGGCAATATGAGTTGGTTGGTTGGCGCTTTTGACCGCCTCGTTCCCTGTGAGCAGTTTAGGTACTGTTGCAAACCCGCTGTGGATTTAGGAACAGAGAAACACGCCAAAGTCCGTAAGACTTCAGCATACAAGATTGTGTCATTTATTTATTCAAGATCGTTGAGTTTGTTTCATCGTACAGGGTCAATCTGAAAAGCTGTACTCTAACTGTACTTTTCAGAGGGATACCTGTGATATTTTTAAACAGAAATGGGGATAGTATCTAACATTAATTAACTCATTTTCCATAAACAACCTACGTAGTCAAGCGAAATACTAAGCTCGAGTCGTTTATTTGTCAGGTAATAAGCAGTAATATAAAATTCACCCTGGTACCTTATGGTTTGAATCATAACGGTTTTGGCATCATTTATTTTTAAAACAATTGCATACCCGACAAACGTAAGAAATTTGCCTTAGTTTCTCAAAACATTCCTCATATCCTGTCAAATGTCCAACTTAAAACAAGCCACTAAAAAGGCGCTTAAATAGTACTACAGATAATTAGGTTTCATTTTCTATACCCTAGAAAATTATTAAAAACCATCAAGTCCCTAGACGTATAATTCATGAAAGCAAAAGCATTACAACCAAAGTTTAGGTAAAAAAATTCCTCTCTGAGATTGCTAAATAAGCTGTTGATCGTATCTTATAAAGCCTATAATCGTTAAAAATTCAAAATAGCTACTGACACCAGGGACTATTTTAGAGAGTAGTTGAATATATCAAATACCTTATCTTACGTTGTTTGCCATTTTAAAACGCATTGTTTATTGCTTCTATTAGGGTATATAATAATAGTTATAGATGTAGACCTTGCTATCAAGTCATTTACTCTTCCTTTCAGGTAACTTTGTAGAGTACCCAGTCATCAATACTAACTTTGAAGTTGATCACTCACAGTTTTTGGACAGCTTCTTACTTATCCGTTTCTACTCTGCTTAACTTACTTTGGTTGCAAACTTTTTCTTCGTGATGTTTGCACGGCTACGTAATTGTGAACGTGTAATATCTGATACGTACGTCATCAGTAAAAAAATACACACAGGAAACACGATTTGCAAGAACACTCGTGCTGGGGTGGTACGTCGAACTAGAGATCAATCCCACCCCCTCACCTACGAGCAGGCAAAAAAGCCACATCAAATCGGTATAATGAAGTCTTGGAATTCTTGGAATACTTCAAATTTGGAAGGAGAAGACCGTTACACATCAGAAGTTACCCTTCATGACCAGTTTATTCGAACATTTATTAATGGAACTTTTCCTTTGTTGGTTCAAAGTGAAGTATGTTTATTTAGTTGTACACAATTATATAATTTTTCCACACTGCACCCTTATGTTGATGCTAAATCTGGTTTCGATGCATAACTTCGTTGAGTTAGTTTACGGAAATTCAGATTTCGAAAGTTCTGTCCATCTCAGATTGGAATGTGAAAATTCAGTAAAGAAGTCATCTGATAATTGTTTTAGCTCATACTCTCGATCCTATACAGAATGTAACTCAGGAGCATTGACTCTCGTGGTAGTACATCAAGATTCAATCACTGAGTCAAAAACCTTGGATCACCATTTTCAATATCATTAGGTTTATGACACAGTGCTACCACCACTTGATGCGATCGGGCGACACTTGTTTTCATTTTATAACTAACCAGCTGCACAGGTTACTGTCGGGACTTTTAGCACTGTTAAATACCACGTGACTTACGGACCAATCATCATACGACTTATACAATCTTAGCACTGTCCCAAACCAATGACGTCTTGACTGGTATAAGTGGCCTAGCGTCCTTATTCGACTTTTCCTGCATAGCCTTGTCTGTCGGGCCCAGAACACCAATATCAGCTTCCACTATACGAATAATCTATTTCAAACATACCTGGTTTATATACAAGCCAACCAGACCACATCACACCATAAAATAAAAATGACATTTGTACAAGATCAAGCCAAAGAGTGACTGTGATTGTCAGAGACCGTAATTAATAAACTTGGTATAACTTAAGCGTAGTAAATCGTATAATAATATTCTATAGGTCAAAGTAAAGCTTATAATAAGAGGAATATAAATATACATAATCTAGTTACTCAATAGTTACACAATAAGAATATATATAGTTTAATCTTCACTAGGATACATCTCCCCATTAAAAGTTCGCGACATCGATTTCGCAGCAGGTTACTAATGTCAAGTAACAAATTATTATGACTTAGCCATCAGTCTTGATGGCTGTAGGTCCGACTCGGTATGTAGTCAAGGTTACGTATCATTTGAGTTCCGAACTAGTGTGTATTAGCTGTTGACTGATCTCCCTTTTTTTACATATTTTTCAAATGATTTCAGTCAGTCGTAAAAGTTATCTTTGGATTAACTAAACCCTCACAAACTATCTCAGTGAATATTTTCACTAAACTGTTCGGATAATTATCTCAGCTAAAATCAGATTTCCTTTTTGCGACCAGTCCTTCTGCCCCCAAATGCCCTGGTATGGCCGAGGGTGGGGTGGGCCCGCCCTCCCTCTCGAACTGCTCTCACACGGCCACGTGTATTTAGCCTCTGCTAGGGAAGTCCTACTCACTGCCTCGTGGCGGGGGTGTTGTTTACGAAATTGAGAGGACGAAAAGCAAATGTCCGGCGCTTTAACCGGATTCCAAACCAAATCAATGGTGGACATGGGCTCCAGTATCCTGTGGGAACAAATGGAGTATGAACTAATCGTTGGTCACCGGCTACCATGGGACTGCATCTCTTCACGATGCTCCACTGCCTTGTGGATCAGACCTTTAGGTTAAAGGCTCTGGGAGTGGTCCCCTAAGAAAACTACCTGCTTCGGTCTGGGCACCCGGGCAGTATCACAGTCCTCACACAAATCGTATGACTTATATGGCGCATATCTATTTGGTGCCTCCTTGTACCAATATCGATGTGTTAAAATAAATAAATAATAAAACCAGTTCTATGTATCGAAATAATGAAGTATTGTCACCCAACACTTTGAAATCCATAACATTTTGTCTCTTATATGAGAACGACTTAAAATATAAAGGAAGATGATAATAATAAGTTGTTTAATTGTGATGTGTCTTTACGTGACTACTACGGTTCAGTGATTTTTGAGGGTAGGTAATTCAAGAACTGATTACAGCATTTCACTGGTAGTTTATGTCATACATTTATGCGTCACAGCCTATGTACCGCACATTTGATAATTAAAAACCCTGGAAGCATTTATTTTCATAATAAGATGTTATCGCCAATAATCAATCCAATTCCAGGGCCTTCAGTCTCGCGCGCGAACGAATCCCGCGAGAGGGATCGTGGATGCGCACTGTTGAAGTTTCACAATAAGACGAAACAGCCGTCCAATGCTTTCAGGTTTTCATTGGTGATTTAACATCAATCCGTTCATGATCTTAATCAAAAAACTCAATAATCTCCACAACCCTATACTGATAATTGACGTCTACAGGGGGTAAAAAGCTTTTGTGGGTTGGTAACTGCCGATCCATTACGATTTCCAGGTTGGGTTCCTAATGATCATGCGAGGCAGTAGCTTTGAGTGTTGTCAGATATGACATATTAAAAGGCAGTAGATATCTTTCTACAGTTTTTAGTGGATTCATCATAAAACTTAAGTGAATTTCATTAATTGAAAGAAATCCATTTTGACTGTTTTTCCAAATTAATTTTATTTATTATTAAGCATTATTCTTATTTTTTTATTGATAATACGACGTTTCTTTACTCTTTCGTAATATTTTTATACTCATTTATATCGTGTATTCTTTTATCCGATTGTTGTACTAACATTTCTTGTGTTATCGACAAATAATAGAGTTTTATATTTATTGTTTTTCGGTGTAAATCACATTCATTTTTAACTACTTTATTTTCTACACACCCAAAAGGTTATTATCAAACGACAATGTAACGTAATACGTGTAGCTTTTTTACTATTAAAGCGAATATCTCCAGGAGAAGCCAGTTTCCTCATTGGTTACACAGAAGAAATGCTTTCGCTTATACTTCGATGTGTTGTGAAACTAGAAGTACAATTGGTGATATCCAAAAATGATGTTATATTTCGATATATTTAATCATTGAACTGAATTATTATTTATTATATTGTATTCATAAAAGTGATATATATTGTACAGTGTATCATTATTATAGCCTTTAATGTACTGCCTATTTTGTTATAATCATTCTCGTTAAATTTCGACCAATCCAATAGTTTTCTGATAATTTTAAGGGTGATTCTCTCCCATAATTTGATATCAGTGTTTAAAACAAATTCATAAAACTATTCAGAATGTTCGATAGGATTGTTTTATTCTGTCCTACTAATTTTCAGTATCAGATATTAACGAATACTAATGTTGTTACTTCTGAATTTAAGCTAGCTTTAATCTCGATTGAGTTTACAATATCCTTCATGTTTTTGCTTCTGAAAATACTGAGCTCAGAAAGGAAATTTTGTTTGATTTTCAAGAATGATTGATCAGCAAGCATAAAATTGCTTACTGTAGTGGATCTATGTAGGTTACAACCCTGAACATTACAGGCAGTCAAAACAGAGAAACAAGTAAACTTAAGACAGTCTAACCTAGCAATAGTTTAGTCATGCATATCCGTTTTGTTCCCCAAGTTTCTAACATTTTTCATAAACCAGTCCATTTTTGTACATAAAGAATATTTCTCAGATACATTTCATTAAGTTAAATCTGAGCTTAGTCATAATGCGAAAGTCAGACTAATGACGTCCTCGTTTGTATGTTTCCAAGACCACGAAACAGCCTTTCAAAAGCCAATGCTTATATCCACTGAACACTAACTGAAAATTCATTTTCTACTTACAAAATAGTACAGATACACATTTAATCGGTTTGTAGCATCAGCAGTAAATTGTATTCCATTCTTCAATACTTTGTCAACCAAATATTTCAGCCAATGTAAGTTTCATAAATAATTTGGACATTGATAAAACAAAGATTTGGTAGTCTATGATATTTACTTAGGATGAAACCCTAATATCATTTGGTGTTTTATTATAGTTAAAGGCATTTATTGCTGAATTCATTTAGTGTATTATCTGTTCACATTCCTACACTAATTTTAAGTTATGAGTTTATTCTTAAATGTTAGTAAATATGTCACCAATAGCACACGTGGAGGATTACATATACATAAACACGATTCGTTCAAACTTTCTGTATTAGATAAGTGATAGTAATAAACCTTTGACTTAACTTTCGCATCACCCCTAATCATTCACGCTTCTATATGAGATCTAAGCAGCAGATTTTAAACTGTCGACTCAACCACTACTCTAACCACCGGGTCAATCCTTGGACGTTGTGTATTTTCTTCATCGGAAAACCATGTAAGTTATGTACACGGTTGAATAATACTACTTTAAGTAAGAGAAGGACAGAGATCCATGTCTTTCCTTACCATTTTTAAATATAATTCATTGGTGCATACATAGTGCTCCAGGACTGGCTTGCGTCAACACTTGAACTAAGGGTCGGGAGTGAAGTAGTCTCATCAACCCTAATGGGTTGGTGTCTGACGATGGTAAATCAGTTGATGAGGTTGTGAATCTTCATCGACTGAGGTGGTTGGGCCACGTGTTACGTATACCTAAATACCGATTACCACGACGAGCAATGCTGACTAGTGTTGGGGATGGTTGGGAGAAAGTTAGGGGCGACCAAACTAAAACATGGCATCAGTCCTTAAAGTGACTTCTAGTGTGAGTCATGTTGGTAGATGCAGACTACCTGATTGGGGTCCGCGTGGCTATCGTAACCAATTGTTGGAGACCTTGGGTAACATGGCTCAGAATCGATCACAATGGTGTCGGTGTATACACTCTCTGTCTTCCCTTAAACCGTGATATTAAAATTACTTCATACCTTTCTTCCTATGGACTAATTCTTTCTTCCTGTATTATATCCTTATATGCAATCTTTTATATATTACCACCACTGAATTAACTATAGGAGTTCGGTGTTCATTTTGTTGTGCTAATGAGGTATGGCAACTTGGACCGGTGCATATATGTGCCTGGTACTACGTTATAGCTGACTGACTGAGTAGTGTCTATAAACATGTTTCTAAAGTCTACTTAAAAAGAATTTTACGAAACGTGGTTGTATAAAACTAATGACAACAATCGCGGATTCTCATTTAAATAACAATAATCTTTTGCAAAGATTGAACGATATGAAATATATCAGATTCTTCGATATCTAGCTTGTATTGTACATAAAATTCCTCAATTAATATCACTAGAAATTAGTGGTTGTTTGTTATGTTTCAGTTATTATTAAATCCAAGTGAGTAAGAATCAGTTGTTTGTTGTGTTTGCCACAAGTCAACTAATTGACGGGGAAGATGTCGAAGGTGGGTTTATATTTGATATATTAGTATTTAATGATTTGTCAGCTTGGGTCAATGTTACTGTTTGTTGCGAATTAGTTGAACTTCCAGTCGTTGACGAGGAAACACTTGGGATAACAGATGTATCTGACCGGGTTTGACCTGAGTAATTAGGTGAAGTTGGTGTAGACACTGATACTGGAACTGATGAAGTAACCGAAGTTGCAATCTTATCATCTAATTTATGGCTTATTGAGGGTTGGAGTGATATATAATGACCCTGAATATTAGAGTCCGGGGATAGGTTCATGAGATTAGAGAAACTTGAATTAGTTGGTTGTAATATATTATTTTGTCTCGCTACATTGATATTTTGAAGTTGGGCTAAATGAGTTTGCAAACTTGTAGTGTCTATAATGCTACCACTTGGGCTATGACCCAATGACCCTACAATACTTGATGTTCCTCCAGCAACATCGTCGTATATGACATGCGGATGCTGCATTCGTATTAAATACTGCGGAAATGAGTGAATTTCACCCTGCCCAAAATGACGTACCGGAGTTTGGGGTGAGTATCCATAATTGTTCACCACGTCACGATTAAGATTTGGTGAAGGAGTATTAAGTGATGAAGCTCGAATGTATGTTGGTGTGAAACTAACAAACTTATTTGTGTCATCAATCATAGGAAATGTTGTTAGATTGGTATTCTCCATATCTAAAGTTTGAGGTTGCGTTAATCCTCCAAATTGTTGTTGTGGTATGCTATTGTTTCTCAGGTTTTGCATTCCATTCTTTCTGAACGTACCTGGTAATGAATTTGTCGGAATGTAATTTGTAGGTGGATTCTCTTTATATGATGTACCATTGTAGAGTAAAGGGATTTTTTGTATAGCAGATAAGCTGTATGACGAATTAAGTACTCCATGATCTGAGCCATTTATTCTAACATGATTCATATGCGGCGTTATAGTTGCTCGAGGTAGAATTGGTGTCGTCATAATTAGTGAACCCTTCCTCATTTCATCAGGTAAGCAAAGACAAGCAGCTAGGCAACTTGTTTTACTTGATCCTTCTTGTGATGCGTCTGAAGTACAGAAAAATAAGGAAATACAAGGAGGAGAGAATAATATAAACTAAAACAATTCACTTAGAAGTTAGAACAGAATGTAAACTTAATTAATGGTTAAGTTTCGTGGCCCATTTAGTAAAGAGTCGTGTTAGTAGTTTGATGCCTACTAGTTCAAATCATACTGTAAATGAGGTTTACTTTTGATTAAAGTTTTTATCTCTGTGTATACATATACAGATAATTATATTAGCTTTAACTTTACTGGTGTAAGGAAACGGCGATTTGGGTATTACTATCTCATTTTTTCTATAGATTTTCTATTATAAATAATATGTCCAATGCACAAGTATGTTTCTTCATTATAATTACTGATTTTCTTGACTACTTTGATTAATTTTCGCATATAATGTAGATTCATCGTTTTTGAACATATTGATTAATTATACTCATAGGAGATAACTGATCATTATGGAAAGTAAGACTTCATGACTTATTGAAAAAATGTCGATTTAGCCTAATCTTAATAATAATTCATAGACTTTATTTTTGTTTGATAGTAATTATAAAGGTCTAAGCCAATAACTAATCAAGATGAATATTGAATTCGTTGTGTTTTTGTTAAAGGTATACGGAAAGATGTATTTAATTCCGGATTATACTTAAAAAGTAAATTCTGAAGAAAAGTCCAGAAAACATAAATTAACATAGTAAATATGAAAACTGATAATTCCGTTTTCTAGTTGATAGCTTACCAATATAGGAACGAAATAGTAAACATCGAATGCAGAATCCCAAATTGATAAGAATTGATAAAATCAATATCGATAGTATAGTAAATAATACTTCCGGTTTTCTCATATAAGATGCTATCAAGAAAAGAACAACAATACAGCATTGTATTATGATCAAATGAAACAGAAGTAGTATGATGTTCAATTGATATTCATTCCATTATTTGATCTTCCGTTAACAGACGATGCCATGAAATACTCCTATGAACAATCCTTCCAACTTACAAATATAAACAAACCAATTACATCGAGTTAATAGCTTCACTAACAAATTCTCTTAATGTTGTAATCCAAACATCCACAAATATCACTCTTAATAGATTTTCAGCCTCGATGTTCGAAACAGATATGTGAGATGATATGATTGGGGTGATGTGAACTGCAAATGGGTAATATAATAAAAAAATCGCTGTATTTATTGATCCGAAAGTAGACTCTGGAAACAACGCTTCGATTAGTCAAAGGGAATAAAACCCAAATCAGGATGATGGGTTAGATCTGGAAAAATTTTCATCCTTAAAAACTTTATCTCCATAAACTGAATATCATTCATGTTTTCTTACTGATTTTAAATTAACTTTGTACATTTTGTGTGATACTCAGTATAAACGAACTAGTGTTTTAGGCATCACAATGAATTGCTATTAGGAGTTACCTAAAGTTTTATAATCAATCTTAAATGGTATAAAAATACAATTTTTTAGGCAAGTTTTATATAGAACAACCAAATATAAATAACGGAAATGATCTCTGAACTTTCTTTATAAGTTTTGAAAGCCAAATCCTTTAATCATAAATAACAAGAATTTAAAAATGGTAATTTTGAGTAATCTGTTGTAGACTGTTAA